CATGATAGACCCCAGGGCATTCACCTTTAAAAACAAATCACGTCTCAGTTCACTTGGAGGGGCAGACAGACAAAATATTGCATTTTTTTTTTCACTACTGCTGCTAAGTAGCCAAGATCTGAAGTAGATTTATTCAGAAACCCGCATGTATAGTGCAAAAAATGATTTCAGCTTTGGAAAATCTGATTATCGAGTGACTAAATCAGCCAATGAACTGCCTTTTTTACCTTCAAATGATCTTGGGTCACACATATACCAGACTTATGAATCCTTTAAATTTGTATATGGGGTGGTGATTGATAGGCAGGTGTCTCACCAAGAGAACCCACTGCGTGGCCTGGGACTAGCTACAATTTATTTGTTTTTTAATCAAACTTGTCCAACATATGACTAGGGCACATAGACAATTAATAGGATTCTCCCCATATGATAGTAAGAAAAGGACAAACATTCAACAGTCGCAAAGATCTCCCAGATGTCTGGGTCAATAACAAACACTTTTGCTGCTTGAAACGCTCATTACCCTCTTTAGTTAACCCTATCATGGACCCGTCGTAACTAACCCTGACCAAATTTGTCAACCGCTTACACGGCCACCAAAGAGTTCACTGCCATAAGGATTATTAATGACATATTTAGAACTTTAAAAGGTTTAAATGCTCAACGCTCTTCTTGATCTTATAGTCTTATAAACAACTAGGAGAGCTAGAAGAACCTCGGGAAGAAGCAGAACATCTGAAGAGGGCAGCTTTTATTTGCCTAGCTGAGGCTTGAATATAATAATTTTCCTCCCTCTTTGTCTCCAAGAGTTGTGCAAATTTCAAGTGTCTCCAGGTGGTCAGATGTCTTTAGAGCTATTCAGACACGAAGGAAATAAAACCCGTGGAAGAAAATGGAGTCACCGTCATTGATGTGCAAATAACCTCGTTCACACACAAGATCATATCATCAATATATATCTGTCCTTTATCAACAACGTGAGGGCTGCACCTACGATGTCACAGGAGCTGTTGGCCACAGATTCAAGCTACTGTGTCATGAGAAAATTCTCACAGCTTCTAAATGATGCACGTAAAGACTATAGGAGAAAGTAAAGTGATTGTTATAAGAAGTAAAGAAAATAGCTGTATCGTGTGTAACATTGGACCTTACTACTAAATTCTACTACCAAATTCAAATAAGCGAGAACAAGCCCTATATCAAGACTAATTTGCTTTTATACACATTTTGTTCACAGTTAACACTACCATGAAAATATTCTGTTAAACACAAGCTCAGTTTCAGCACATTCTGTCTTATGGCTTATTGATATGAGACAAAAATGCCTTTCTTCTTAAAGTACTGGCTGATTTATGTCACTCACTTGTCCTTGATAGGCTTTGGCGCTGTGCAGAAGCTGCCACTGAATTCCCCAAGGCTTTGCTATGCAGATTAACATCAACGTGTTAAATGAGAAAGCAAGCTTTCCCTTCTTTCACACATGCTATTGGTTGAATTCAGTGTCACTCAACGGCTTGAGCTATTCTTCCCCCTTCTTCCCCTGTGCTTCTGTTAGGTTGTATCCTTGGAGCCCAATAAATGAAAGGTGATAAGACCTGTCACTCAATGGACTTCAAGGAAGTAGAAAAATATGGTACGTGTAAGCTTGGTTGTGCATGTCCGTAGACATGGATTGTCCTAAGCTAAAGTGATGAAAAACTGTACTGAGCTTGTTAGAACATAAACAGAAAAAAAGAGAAGGTTATTCTAGCGCAGCCTCTGTTAACCAGGATGCAGTGGGACACTGGTGTGCCTCCTGCCCTCCTCAGGGGTGCCTTGAAATTTTGTGGCAGTGGGACTGTGATGTGAGGGGTGCAATAAAGACTGATGTGAAGGGGGCTTCTGATGTAAAAGGGGAACTCTGATGTAAAAGTGAAGGTTCTGATGTGAAAGCGGGGCTCCTGATGTAAAAGGGGAACTCTGGTGGGAAAGTGAGGCTTCTGATGTGAAAGGGGAGGCGCCTGATGTAAAAGGGGAACTCTGGTGGGAAAGGGCAGGAATCTGATATGAAAGGTGGGGCTAATGATGTGAAGGGGGCTACTGATACAAAGGATGACTCTGATGTGAAGAATCTTGATTTGAAGGGGGCACTTCAAGGTGATGGGGGCAACTCCCTTTTTTGTGTGTTTTTGCATGGGGTCCCCCTTAAAATCTGACATTTTAGACTAGGGTGCCTCGAGAATTTCCATACTTTTAAAGGGTGCCGTGACTAAAGGAAGATTGAGAAACGCTGTTCTAGAGAAATGGTGCATAAATCGGGGATGAGAGAAAAGTGTGTTTGTAGTTCAAAGCAACAAATGAGATTATGGCTGTTATTTTTCTTTTGCAGTCCAAAAAGGACAACATCTGATTTACCAGCATCCATCAACCCCGCTTTTTCCTTTTCTCCACTTTTTTAAGGAGGTGCTTAAGCTTACAGGACAAACTATATAAAAATCTAAGGGTCAGTGCCCACTGCTGTTCTGACAATAATGCCCTTACTTGATCTACAGAATGCATTCTAATCAATGCATGGTGATCTCCTAACACACACATATATATAGATATGCATATATATATATATATATATAGATATAGATAGATATAGATATATCTATCTATATGTATATATAAAATTCATATGAAAATGTCTATTAGCCCTGAAGGACAAAATACTGGGAGGCCCATGCCGTTAACTTTGTGTTGAAAATGGCCATCACTGCGAGATGGAACAGGGCACAGGGCAGCACATAGGGCAGTTTGGGGATAGCTTTTGATGCTGCCCTGGGTTGTAAAATGAAAATATCCAAAATCTTAGGGGATCGTGTATTTAGTGGTATATCATATAAGCAGTTGATCGAAGGATAACTTTCTGTTCCAAATGGGAAATGAGGGGGAAGTCTCACCAGAAGGGGAGGACCTTCATAGCTGAGATATAGCCATGACTTGTCACCTGCTTTCAGTTGACATTTTCGGAACATTTTGTGTTTCTACTCACTACTACCAAGAATGCCAATTCATTCATTTGCTACTGATGACTCACTAAGTTCTGTAAACAAAAGGCTGCTTTCAGCCTAAACAGCAAAGACAAATATGCTAAAAAAAAAACACTGCTCATTGCTTCCATCAGGCACCGTAATTGTTGGTTAATGGCAGTGAGAACCTTCTTAGTTTTGAATTTATTTTTTTTTTACACCATGCTTCATCTATGTGAGAAACTGCAAGAAACTTGCAGTGGGTGTGTTTAGGAATCCCTCCCTTGGATTACATATGGTGTCCCCAGATCTACAAATTACAGAGCCATGGGACTGGTGTACTACAGCAAAGCCTGGATGGAAAGAAAAATAACAAACGCTGAGGGGTTAGTCTGTGCTCCCTGCATGCGTCTCAAACTTTAATTCTGAACTTTGACTGGTGTTTAAATAAACTGAATATGCATTGGAAGAAACATTCATCTAGAGATTACATACTGATGATGTTTCTAATCATTCATTTGGGGTTTTTAACAGTTGTGTGTGGGGCCGGGCCTAGTGAGTATTAGGAGCCCTCTGTAGTGAAAGTAGTAAACTGCCCACAATGATAGTAATATGCCCCCTGAAGGGAGACTCTAAATCTGATTAACGTGTGTGGCGGGCATAAACAGAGTAATAGAGACGTAGAAGGGAATTCATCAAAACTGGAGCAGACGAAAACTGGAGCAGCTGTGCATGGCAACCAATCAGCTTCTCTGTTTCATTTTCAAATCTTAACTGAACCAACTGAAAAGAGAAGCTGATTGGTTGCCATGCACAGCTGCTCCAGTTTTTGTGTGCTCCAGTTTTGATAAATTCCACCCATTGAACCAGTGGACTGGCATACACATGTCCTACATATGGGTATCCAGCAGTAAATGTCAGATTTGAGCAAACATAAATTTAGCCCTCCAGCTGTGGTGAAACTACAAATCCCATGAGGCACTGCAAGATTCTCACAGTCACGACTCCCAGAGACAGATGAATCATGGGACTTGTAGTTTCACCAAAGCTGCAGGGTCGGACGTTTCCAAACATTTGAATAAAGTAGGGAAGGGCTAAATCTTCTGTCAGATGGACTTGTTGCCTGTGACCCCACTCAAGAGATTCACCTTCCTTATTTGTCCTGGTGACCCTTGCCCCCTGGTCTAAAACTTGTCCCTGGAACAGGAATAGAGGTCAAGTCAATGAGGACACATGCCAACTGATTTACCTTACTTTGGAATGGAAGGATCTCCTTTCACTTACAGTTGTGTCTCTAGACAGGAAGTGAAGGAACATCCCTCCTGAGCTCTTCTGCTTGGGGATTGCAAAATGCTAATATCAGGTACTTACACTACTCGCATTTAAAAATATACATTTAATGACCTATTAATAAAAACAAATCTATATTAAATTGTGTATGTTCAACTTTAACTCTTCAACAGTCTACCAAACAAACGGAATGATCAGTTTCGAGTGGACTGACCTTTTTAATGTTTAAAGCCTATTCAGACGTTCAGGTCAAACAAGCTGACTACATTCAAGGTGCATCAGAACAAAAAGTGTTCAAGGTCTTAACATTTGTTTTCTTTACAAAGCAGCCCCAGCCTGAGTAGAAAAGCCAGTCCCCATGTGGAAGATGTGGCCTCTCTGAAGAGGTCCAACACATCCTGCTAATGAGTCTGAGCCAGAGCTTTCCAAAAAGCGGGAAGCATAAGCTTTGCTGACTGCAGAGCTATATCTGTGCTCAGCAGTGGGCATGCTGGACCTTTGCAGAGAGACCGTTGCTTCCACACAGAGGGCAAGGGTCCTTCTCTGGCAGGGAACAGGCTTTTCTTTTAGCTGTGGCTGCTTTCTAAAGAAAACAAGCTTTTATTTTAATGCACTTGGACTGTATTTAGCTGATTGAAACCGAAAGCTCAGTTGGGTTATGGGTTATAAAACCAAACTCAGATTAATACTACTTTGATTCCTGGGTCTGGGTCTTACCTGTGTGAATCCTCAAATGCACCTTTAGGTGGTGGGAAGTCCTAAAGGTTTTTCCACAGTAGGGGCAGTCCTTCATGGCTGTGCCAAGGTTCCTATCCCTCATCATAGCTTGCTGCTGAGCTCCCATGCATCTTCCAGTGTCGTCCCCCATATCTGTAACACAGAGACGATCACGTTCTAACACCAGTTCAGCCAGAAGCCCTTCAATTACAGCATGGGAGGCAAAATAACTAAGCCTGTCTGTATCATTTTTTCTGCCAATTCTGATGATTGCGATTCTTGGGGATAATTTTATCTTTTTCATCATTATTTTAAGCAGCATATGGTATCTTAATAGTGAACGAAGATACAGAAGAGCTGAACCAGCTGTGGAGGCAGATGCTTGTCATTTTTTACATGCCAAACCAAAAAAAGTTACAAAGGGAAACTAGTTCAGCACGAGCGATAGTGTAATACGGTTGCGTAAATCTGACCAATACACTTTTTAAGCGATTTTACTCGACCTATGGTTCTCCACCATCTCCACCAACATGGCACCACAGACATTATTTGCAGCCCAGTTCTGGTTTAACATTTTTTTAAACTAATTCCCCCAGCTATTTTTTTAAAATAAAAAAAAGCAGCTATGGCTGCATAACTCACCTACGAGGTGCCATCCCGCAGTAATTCTTTTCTGCCACAGGATGCTACCAGTCTTCTGGAATGAATGATGCCTAGTGTCATTCAACCCACTACCAGGACATCAGGCCCTGGGAACATTGGAGAGGGTAAAAAGATACAAGGAAGGGCAATGTTGTCACCACGTTAATTCCACTCTCTTAATCATTGAGGGCAGTATTTTGGGTGCTATTCTGTTATCCTGTGATCAGAAAATGGAATGAGATAAAGCCTTTCCAACTGAGACAAGTACTTACAACACCAACACTGGAGTGAAGAAGGAGAGCTTTGACCTCACTTTCTGTCCTGGTGACACCCAATATGAAAGGTTGTCATTAGGAGCTTCCCTATAATGAGGCATCGACTTGGGTCATGTGGGGGGTGGCAGATGGAGTGACACAATGCTTGCAGTGTGCCTGCCCCCTTTCTGGCCAGAATGTCCCATGCTACGAAGAGCTGGGTGGGGAGATGTGTAAAGGCCATACACATCTCCCTGCCCAGCTCCTAGCAACCTGGGACACTCTAGCCATTGTGCTGCCCGGCATCTGGCTACCAGTGACATCAGTGAGCTTGGCGGGACACCAATCAGAGCTGGGAAGTGATGATGATCTACCCCCTGCACCCCCACACCTGGAACGTGCACCGCATGGCAAAAAGGCTAGAGATACCCCTGGTTGTCACAGAAAGCAATAAAAACTCATCTAACCAGACTATGTCAACCAGGGTTCTGTTTAACCGCATGGTTTTTCTGAGGGAGATCTAGGAGATCCTTAAGCAGTGAGCATCACAGAATTGATGATTATGGCACGCATTCACCATGGCATTGTTTCGATAAGCTATATTGTCAGAACATTTCCATCCAGAGTTGCATTAACTTTTCACCAAGATCGTGTAGTGATGATGGGAGAGTCGAACCACTGCGTAAAGTCTTCTCCGGCCCATCCCAAAGATTCTCAATGGGGTTAAGGTCTGGTCTCTGTGGTGGCCAATCCATGTGTGAAAATGATCTCTCATGCTCCCTGAACCACTCTATCCATATCTGTGCCCGATGAATCCTGGCATTGTCATCCCAGAATATACCCAATGTGCCATCAGGGAAGAAGAAATCCATTGATGGAAAAACCTGGTCATTCAGTATATTCAGGTAGGCAGCTGACCTAATTTTTTGGGCACATAACATTGCTGAACCTAGGCCTATTATCCAATAGAAGGCTCTGACCTATTTGCTTAGCTAAATCCAGGTGGTGAGGTTCTTTTTTTTTTTGACCGTGCAGTGTATATTTAACATGCAAATAGTAATGTATTTTCTGAAGTTTGTTATTTTGGGTAAATACACTGTAAACGTTTACATTTCAGGTCATTTTGCCATAAATATAGCATTTTGATATGTAACCTTGAATTAAGATCCTGGAACCAGTATTTAGGGTAGTACATGACACGTGTCCCATTTAGTAATGTCTGAAAGGTCCTCGGAACATTACCAATTGGATACAATGGTGCTCAAGTATAATTTACACTTGGCATATATTCCATATAGAGGTGAAATGGACAATTTAAATTTGAAAGGTTCAGTAACCTATAGTAACCAGTCCCATTTCAGCTCACTGTGAAATTAGTTAAAGGAAGTTAAATTAGTAAGGAGTTAGTAAAATAAATAGGTTGGAGTTCTGATTTGTTTTCTGTTGGTTACTAAACTACTGTATGTGCATAATCACTTATTAAAGGAGAACTATGGGGTGCGTGTTTTTCCCCATAGTTCTCCTAAGGGTCACGGGAGGACATAAACTAGCGTCCTCCCGTGACCCAAAGCTCAGTATATCGCGAGCTACAGCTCGCGATATACTGAGACCGCCACAGCCGGGACAGATCCCGACATTACTGTTGAGATCCACCCAGCTGCGTGATTGACAGCTGAATCTGCCTATCTAGAGGCAGAGCCAGCTGTACCTGCCACCTCCCCCTCCGTTCCGCCGGTCAGCGCTGGAGGATCGGAGCGGGGAAGGAGGGAATCCCTGCAGGGAGCCGTGAGTGACAGTCACGGCTTACTGCAGAGAGATGATCAAGAAATGAGCAAGCAACGGAATGAGTTTGCTCACTTCCCGATCTACTGAGCCGACGTGTGACAGTTTCATTGTCACACTTCGGCTCGAACTATGAGGATGAGTGATTTTCACTCACCTCATAGTTCTCCTTTAAACTACACAATGCCATGCTGAATAGGTCCAAATGATGTTTGTCTGGCCATCTAACCAGATGTTTACAGCTCATCTCTTGGACTACACAACAGTCCTGTTGCAGTGAGAATGACAGAACAGGCAAACATTTTAAAACCCCTCAAAAATACAATGAACAGAGTGTATATTTTTTCCAGTGAAATGCATAATTATATCATATTTCATTTTATGCAGCATGTAAAGATAAATCTGTTCTTCTTTGGGAAAAAAATAATAACCATTTTGGAAAGCGTAGCCGTAACCGGCTCGTCAGTCGCCAACAGTGTGTAAACAAGATCTGGCAAAAAAAAAAAAGGACAAAAAAAGAAAAGAAAAAGACCACTCTATAGCCGGTATTGATCATTAATGGCTTTCGAACTCTAGCAGTTTAATTAATGCTGGTGGAGGAACATTACTTCATTGAATTGTCTCAGCCATATGTGTCGGGAACAAATTCTATTGTTATCTTATCAATATTTACACAGCTGGAAAATTAACTAGGACTTGTGTTAAAAAAAAATGCCTTTTATGCAAGAACTATATTTGCATGGAAAAAAAAGGCAGCCACATTTCTGTTATTGTAAAAAATAAAATAAGATAAGAAAACAAAAAACAAAAGCACTCATAAAAAAAATAAATTCAATAAAAATAATAAAGTCACCTCCATATTTATATATATATAT